TTATCAAAAATTAGCATGACAAATTTTCGATCGATTTGGCATATGCTACAATAAGAAGTTGAATTATTGTCATTTGAAAGTATCCTTCAAAAGACTGCTATAGTTGCTCATCAAAATATTTGGGGACATAATGCATTGAATATCCAGTCAAACTGGTTCTGATATTCTGGTATTATTTGGTTAAGCATTATGAGTTAATATGGTAGAAGTAAATTGAAAGATTTGCCAAACAATAATTCATTGATGATTTGTGCCACATTTATGTTTTCGTTGTATTAAAGTGAGAAAGTTATTTTATTATTTGTTTATTAGTTTTTTGACGTACTGATCACGTATATGACGTGAATCAAACTACAGATAGATTTTTTAAAAAATAATTCGTAATGATAATTGGTAATAATATTTCATTTGTTCTATTCATTCATTTCATTCGTTTAATTATCATTAGTAATGTTTGGAACCAAATTTTACTTTTAAATAATTCTTTTATTCCGAAAATCTTTCTCTTCACAATAATTTTATTCATTGTTAAGCAAATAAGTGATAAGCGTTTTATGCGAAAGCAAAATTGCACCATTTTTTTTTAAATTAATAAATATATATCATTAAAAAATAAGCCAACTTCATTAATTTAATTGGTAATAATTTGAGATTTTAATAATTTAATCAAAATTTCGATTTTTTTTTTTTCCTCGATGACTTCTTGCAAGTAGCATGATGGGCGGAGTTGTTCCTCATGCTATTAACCAGTAGGTGTTGTTGGAAGAATACGGTAGATTGATAAGTATTTGCGGAGTTGCTGCTGCCGTTGCAATGAGCGGCTACTACTACCAACCAGTAAATATGTTGAGCACCACTATTGGTGTGACAAATTCACACTCTCTGAACAAAACCCTTCCATTTCATTAGTTTGTTTTGTCTGTTCGTCTAGATAGTTCGGATGCTTTTGTCAATTTGCGCTTTTTAATTTCAATCTTTTAATTCCATCCCAAGAACAAATGAAAGTATAATGCGCAAATGGATGGTTATGGAAGCGCAGAAGATGGAGGTAATTTTGTGGAATTATTCCGAATACTGTATGAAAATTTTTTGATATTTTTTAATGATTTTATTATTTGAAAAATAATTGAAATTGTTGAATATTTGTTTATAATTCAATGGCAAATGAGATAAGTTTTAATCAGAGAATTGCAGGATAAATTATTCCTAAAACTAAGCAATTTATAAATAATTCTTATCAATTTATAATTGAATTAACAATATTCAAAGACAAAAATTTTTAAAATAATTTGTGTTATAATTAGTAAACTTGCATCGTTGTTCAATAGCATTTTTGATGATTTTCATTAATTTTACTTGATTAATGATTTAATGAAAATAAAAAAATCTTTCAATTACTCATATCAAAAAGATATAAGAAATGATATATTCATTGACTGTTACATCGAGATATTTGCCAATGTAACTTTTGACTTTTTCATTTCAAATTTAAATTTAATTTTTCATATGTTTACAATGGAATGAATGTATCATTTAATAAATGTATCAGTTTCAAATGTATTTTACCGCCATGCAAATTGCATAAATTATGATAAAAATTGATTAGCTATAAGATATTCTGTATTACAATAATTTATATTTGCTAAAATATTCGCTAATTGGTGAATGAATGCTTTCAGTATGAAATTTTAATTTATTCTATTAAATTGTCTTCTATTTTCATAAATTACTTTCCTCATTTTCTGTCATAATTCAGTTTTTTTTTTTTCTCATTAAATAAATGAATGAATAGTACTGCTATAAATATTAACAAATAATTCAGTTCCTTTTCATTTCTTTCCTTGTTTTTTCTTTTTCTCCCAATTTAATTCCTTTTAATTTTATTTTCTTACATCTTTTCTGTTATTTCCTTTCTCTGCCAACTTTTCAATATCATTCTTTTACACTAATCTGTCATACTTGTACTCCTTGATATCAAAAAAATAATATTATCATCATTATCGATATTATCATCACTACAATCTTTTCTATCTTAGATTACGCTTACCATTTGCGCTTCTGCTATTATCTCATTCATATACGATGCTTAATGATTTGTAAATTGATTGTGAGAAGAATTTTTAATAGAAAGAATTGTTAATAGAAGATCTGTATGACAAAAAATGTTAACAAATTCATTCTGTTTGGATTTTAAGATGAATTAAGTTGAAGCGCTAAGTGTCAAGAAGTTACAAATGCGCTCACAGGTCGATACATTCTTTAACTTTTCAATAATTGCCCTAAAACTTTGAACTTAATTTGATAGCACTAGATTCTAATCAGTTATTGATGAAAATACTTCAAAAATGGAACGAAAGATTTCAATATTTGCAGAATGGTTACGGCAATTAATCGGTAATTAGTATTGTTATTTTCCATGAACGATATGAAACGGAAATTTAATCTACTTTAATTTAAAGCAAACTTTTATTAATTATAAAGCTTTTTAAAGGCGAATAATTCAAGCAACAATGGATTATTGAACTTCTTTTTGGCACTTTTGGTTCTAACATTTTTGGCTTTAATACTACTTGGCCATGGATAGTATTGAAAGTTATGGTGTGATTATCGAATAGTGGTTCAAAATTTTAAATTATTTTGAAATGTTGGACATAGGGCATTGAATAAACCTGCTTACTTGAATTTTTGTTCCAAATTTCCACATAAGGCTAATAAACCACGAATTTACGATATAAGCTTACTGACTGTAACGATAGGCAATAAATTATGCTAATTAAACTATGTGATAAAAGTTATACAATCTTATCAAATCATTAAAATCACTATTTTCTTTTTCATTTTTTTAAATTCAAAAAAAAAACGATCGATGAAACTTTATGATTTTAAATATATTTTGAAGTTTAAATTTTGCTTTCAACTCTTTTAATCCTTGTAAATTTTGATTGTTAATAGCTTTTGATAAGTTTAAAATTTTTTAAAAAAACAATGACGATAACTTTTGTGTAAATATTATTCAAAAGGATGAATTAAAATATTTTTAAAATGATAACAAAAGCCATTTGCCAAAATATTTCCATTCCCATTTTCTGTATTCATTTTGTAAAAATGCAATATGTAATTTTTTTAAAAAAAAAAAAGAAAGAAAGAGAAAGATTGTGCTAAGTAAAAAGTTGTTGATAGTGAATGGTTTCATTCAATGATAAATGAAAATGGAAAGGAAATGATAAGCATTGAAAATTTTTAAGGTACAAAAATGATATTAAAATATGAGCATAATATTTGTCGTCATCTGAAGGATCGAAAAATATGATGGCATGTGGGTGTGTGAAGAAATGAGTCCAAGGGTGTTAGAAGTATCAGCGGCATCAACCTTTCATCTATTTGAATGCTTTAGATGGTAAAATGGTTTCGGTCTCGTTGCTTTTATAAAGCATTCAAATCAGAAGCAAAATTTTAGCACTATATTTATGTACGAAAGAGTTTCTCCTGTTCCTATCACTTAATGTTTGATTTTTTAAATGATCAAAAGATTATGCCGCACAATTCTCTTCCAGCTACTTCTATCATCAGCTTCCTTTTTTTTTTTTCATGCCATATGTCGCGGGATAATTTTCATTTCCTCATTTCATGATATGCTTCTTAAAAGCTTTTACATTTTATCGTTTTAATCATTTTAAAATAGGTTTATTCTTTAGTGATTTGAAAATGATAAAAGGATTTTGGTGTTATCATATTATTATGACTTACTATTATATGATAAGGATTCATTATGAAGGATAAATAATAAATGATAAGGGATATGCGGGATATGAATCGTTTGCTCTAACTTGCGCATTAATTCTGAATTCTTACGATATCGATCTTCTCCCCCGCCCATTTTAGTGACTGGTGGAGAGAGGAAGATGAGATAGGGGAAGAAATTGGCATAAACGTGGGATGAAAATATTCACATTTATTGTTACAAATATTTTTGCAGAGAAATTCGTCGTTTTCTCTCCCGCGGTAACAAAGAGAATTGGTCTGCTATCGAGAAGGCATCACTGTGAAACTTCACGATTATGGTATTTAAGAGAAGAGATTAAATTTTCAAAATTCCAGGATTTGTCCCATAAATTGCAGTATTTCAATTTCTCAGACAGGCTGCTATAATTTCCTAACAATTAAGGTTTGAAGTTATTTCCCAAAAACGTGTACTATGACGCAACATCTAAGTATATTTGTTTCTGCGTGTTTCGTGTTTATGTGGAAGTTTATGCATGTGACTGTTTATTTTTACGTTTTGCGTGTTTACGTATATGCAAGTGATGTGTATATGTATATATATTTTTACGTGTTTCATATTTACGTTGTGCATGCATATGAGTGTGTCTGTGCGTGTGTGTGTTTGTGTGTACCCGCTAGTGCATGATGACTGGTGTCTTGGAATGAATAACTAACTCTCTGCTTTGATTACTTGACATATCATCCGATGTCTTAACAGCACTATACAATATTTCATCTTTGCCGCCATTTATATACTGTTGTAACTTTTGCGTAAAGATATCAAAAAGCTTAGTGACAGGCAAATATACATATGCATGCGATTGTTTGCGGACATACAAAACACAACACATGACGACTCATCGATACATACTGCATAACCTCACAGATGCAAAATAAACGGTTCAAAAAAAAAAAACCCACAAAGTATGCCGACATGTTTTATAAACAGTAATTGTTAGTCATATCAGCCTTTACAATGTTTGTAATTGAGAAGCATAGCACATCAGTATGGTTATATGAGAATATCGGTGATTCTAGATCAAACCGGATCAAACCGGCTTGCATGTTGAGAATTTCAACGATTTACATATTTCTAACTTATAAATTTGTAGTATTTATTAGACACATTGGGTTATAAATTATTTAAAACTTTTTTGTTTCCTTACAATGAAAAACTGTAATATCATAGTGTCTGTATTAACTTTCTAGGTATAGTGGCGCAGTTAGCACGGTTTTGGATGTTACAAAATCGTTCGATTGCAGAAATTAGAATGCGTCCACTTCACGTACCATATCCATTCAATGGCTTTGTATCATTAACTGGAATCCAACAGCCAACTCCTCCGGTACCATCGGCACCAACAATCTTTCCTAATCATTATACAAGCGAACAGTGGAACCGTTATTACATGCATTTGTACCGACAAATGATGTTCGCGCAGATCTCGGCTGATGCGCAGGTTGGTTATTGTTATGATCTTTAATATCTTCGGTTAAACATCATTGGACGAGGCAGAAACAAGTTTAGACATTGTGCATTAGTTGGCAAAATCGAAATTGGTTACAACTAAGTATGAAAAATGATATTTGCAAGATTGTTCAACGTGAGGTCGTGTTTTAGTAACAACGATAACAGCATTATCAAGAAATCTTAGTAATCCTCAGATACTAAATGAGTTATTGATTTTAGTACTGATTACTTTAACAATGTACTCTCTAATTTATCATTAATCTTTTAGAGGCAACAAGTCATCCATTTTAACCAACAAATGGCAATGAAAGCAGTGACAGAAGACAAGAGCGGGAATACTTCAGTGGTATCATGCAATGATCATCCGAAGTTCGATTTCACTCAACTCGCTAAAAGTATCGAGAATGAAAGCAAGGTATGTTTAAGCTATGAAAATAGCTTCACAAAATGGCTATTGCCACCATTTGATTTCAAAAATTATGGATAGATTTTGGAAATTAAAATTTCGAAATAGTTGAGGGCTGTAGTTGAGTTAAGATTGAGTTAAAAATAAAGGAAGTGGATTTTCACTCTATGAGCGTGGATTTTTCCTTCCTTTTTCTTTTGAATCGAATTGTGGAAGTTTTAATGAATATGGGATGAGAGTGGGAAAAAGGAGAAATTTAATCAAGTTCAAATATTTTGCTTATTTTCAGGTACACTAATAGATAGTACTTTCATTTTGATTTTCTTAACTTCTATGTTTGCCTTTGGAAAAAAAAAGAACTGTAATTTTTCTACCAACATTTTGCTGTTTTGTTGTTTCAGTTTGTTTCACTTTTCTCCTGTTTTCATTAATTTTAGATGGCAAAAGCGATGAAAAGTAATGATAGATTAGCACAAAATTGTTTACCAAATACATCAACTGCATCCACCATTCCCACAAATGATTTCAATAAGCCTTGGTTTGTTTCGAATTCAAATTCATTTATCTTCGAAGTAATTAAGCTTAGGTGCATGGATTAAGAATATTCGACTTATATGAACTTTAACAAATACAAATGAAATATATTAGGACAAAGCCAATTTAACTGAAGTATTTCTTCCCTTTCCGGTTTTTCAGGTTTTTATTGCCAAAACGTAATGTTGGTAGAGGAGCTCGTCCAAAGAAAGAATTTATTTGTAAATTTTGCAATCGACATTTCACCAAATCATATAATTTATTAATACATGAACGTACGCATACCGATGAGCGACCATACAACTGTGATATTTGTGGCAAAGCCTTCCGTAGACAGGATCATCTGCGAGACCATAGGTTTTAATTTCCTACTTTTTTTTTTCGCTCAAAATTATCATCTTTTCATTTCTCAGTCTATAAAGGCAAGTTAGCAAAATAGGTATACCAATAAACATGGTGCCCATTATTAAGTTCAAATGTGTCGTGTATGAGAAATCTTAGTTGTTGTATTCACGTCCTGCAATCTGTAGTTCCTATGCTGCTGAATAATCAGCGATCAGCAAAGTTCTTGCATATTTGCTTACTCATGGCTACTTCTATACGACCTATTAAGGTGAGATACGTTAACAAATCCGTAAAAGGTAGGTTATGCATAAAAATGCTTGCATTATTCAACATTTATTAACCACCTTTTTTGTACTTCAAATCGTATCTTACCTTCTTTCTGTTCAGATTTATCCATTCGAAAGATAAACCATTCAAGTGTGACATATGTCAGAAAGGATTCTGCCAATCGCGAACACTTCAGGTTCATCGAATTTCACATAACAATTCATTAGATGTGGAACACAGAAGACCACGAAAAATTCAAAATAACATTATCATCCATCCATTAGATAATGTTCAGGTAAGATACAATCTGGTCACTTTGTTCAAGTACTTTCTCTACACTTCAAAAGAAGTAAGTATGATTCAGTGGTTAAAAATATTGTTCATCTTCTTTCAGTTTTTGCTTCAATCATAAAATCTAGAAAAATCGAGGTCAATTGAGTTTAGCCCTTCGCGGGATTGTTTTTAGTGAGGAATATAGTTTCTTGGCCGACATTACAATTAATTTGTTATCGTATGTAGTTTCATATCAGACTCGAATTGTTAATATCCAATTCTTTTCTATTGATGCAACAAACTGATACCTACCTTGGCTTGCTTAGTCATATATTTGCTTCAAGATTTTGAGTCCTTATTTCTGGGAAGATAGCTTACGCCTTCGTTCTTTACTTCATCATAAATATTTCAATGTCATTCCCTGCAGTGGAATATTTTTTCAGGATGAACGAAGTGATATTGTCAGGAAGAGTATGGTTTTTATTAATGGTGGTACAAAGTCACCAGTACTAGGAAACAATTCTACCATCAGCTTATCATCATGATTACTTTATAAATACCTGAAATATTTGTAAAATAAAAACAGTTCATCTCTTTTGAGAAAACAATTCATCATTGCTGATCTTCGATTTACCAAATTTGTGATAGTATTCCAATGAATTTTCTAGAATAAAGTTACTTGAGATTTATACCATATGTTCCGATGTCTAAGGGGCGTGTACGTATGTTTATATAGGGATTCATCCGTTGATTGTATCTAAATTTATTGACTTCCACAACATAAGCTTAGCGAAATGGAATCTGAGCTATAGTAAGATAACTTATCTACTTTAATTCATACGTGTACACTTCGTAGTCTCTCTTATTGTTATGTTAACTGAATGTATATTTTGCCTGTATGCTTCGGGCTTGAAATTTTACGATAGTTTAATCTTTAGTCTAGCTTGATGAGTTATTTTCAAAGTAGACAGGTAAAGGAGAACAAATATCAAAGAAACAAAACGATGAGATGGAAAGAAAGGACTGAGATTACTACCGATATTAAAAACCTTTATTTAAATCGTCCTACATGTTTTGGAATATGTTTTCGAAGTTTGAATATTAAAATCAGAAAGAATTTGAACGTTAACAAATTTGTTCTCTCTACCGCTCTTGTAACTTTTACTCATATTTCGTCGTTTACCTTTTATTATTTCATACTGTTTCTATTTTATTTCGATAATACAAGTACTAATACCAGCATTTACATATGAAATCTTACCTTATGTCAGATCTGTGTAATTAGACTTATCACTTCTGAAGCATTATGATGAACAAGAAAGGTCATGATGATCATCAATCATCGTATTAGAAATATGACAAAGACCAGGCAAAAATTTTCAACTGTCATTACCGGTACAGACACTGAGTTGGTAAACGTTTGTCATCAGGATCGATGGTCGACTTTCTCACCGCATTATTTTATCGTCCAAATTTAAATATTTATAAGATCTTCCGGAAAATTTTTGCCGGCAAAATGGCCTAAACATTTAGTGTTATTTCTATATTCGTATTTCAAACGTTGCATTCGAACAGTGAAATCGGAAATAAATTTAAATGCATAACTATTTTTCAAATGAAACAAAAATGTCACTCATTAAAGATACTGAATGATTGCTGTTTGCTTTTGAGATAAATAGATACCACTTACTATCAACTATTCTAATTTGGCGTTAAGGTAATTAATACTCGAACTTCGTTTATTTGACAGTGATACATGAGGATGGATGTTACATCTCTAAACAACTATGAGGAGTTCCAGATGAATTGCTTACGATGACCAATGATACTGCTGTGACCGGTAAAGATTAATTCAAATTTTTTCACAGTTCCGTTCACAATTTGTTTGGAAACTATTCCCCCCAGCTAAAATGAACAACCACTTAATTCTACCTCGTCTCTACACCACTGATCGGAATATACGTCCGGGTTTCCGTATTCGGGAATGGAAGGGATACGTGGTGTTTTACGGTTGCTGTTGGCCGATGTTCGACATCCCCTTTTTGAGTGTTAGAATTGGCGAGAAGTCGGGAGATGAGCGAAGTTGGGCTGGGGTGCGTCTCCCGGAGTACGTCTTTATTAGTGTTAGTTGAACTATTATTCAGCGGCAGTAGAATTACTTATATCAATGAACGACAATGGAACCGGCAGGATCACTGGGAGCAAAACTTTCGATGGAGTTGTCAAAACTGGATGAGGAACTAGAAAGAATCGAAGGGGATATAAGTTCGCTGAGGAAACGGAAACGCGCATTATTGGAAAGAAAAGCACAGGTTATTTTTACTGTATACAAATAAATTGGCGCACATTCAAGCTAAAATAACCGCATAAAACATTGTTCATCTCTGGTGTGTTCAGTGGAACCAGTATCGTGAATGTTCATTAGTGATCATCAAGAGTTATAATAGCAACCTTTGCTATTTAAATTCTCTGCAGTAAACGTATTTTTGATTCAGCATAACTTTTACAGATCGAAAAGCGTATAGTTGAGCGAAATGTGGAGAATGAAAGTTCATTTAGAATTTGGGATTCAGACGATTTTCAGTGGATGAAGGAGTGTCTCCATGTGTTACATAATGTTTTTAAACTGAGTGATTTCCGTCCTCTACAAAGGTTTCTTCTCATGTTTTCTGCGTGTAGTAGGGAATTTGTTCGGCGTAGTTGCTCTAGGAAACCTGCTAGATCTACGGTAAAAGTTTGCATTTTGGAGTCTAAGAGAATAGCACAATTAGTTAATCATTTTGCGTGTTTTTAGGGCTGTTATCAATGCGGTATTGTCGAAGGAGGATTGTTTGGTAGTGATGAGCACTGGAAGCGGGAAAAGTCTTTGTTATCAGTTACCTGCTGTTATTATGAAAGGTCTACTACCCAGAGTTTTTGATTTAAATTACGTCCAAACGATGCAGTTTATCAAGCAATATTGGAGTCTTTATACTTTTTTTTGGTATTTATAGGTATCGTATTGGTTGTGTCACCTTTGATAGCTCTCATTGAAGATCAGTTGCATCAGTTAAGAAAATTAGGAATTGATGCAGCAACACTTAACCAATCCACCGCGAAAGAGGAGGTAATTTATTTTGTTAAATTTGTGAAAGGAAAGTTTTATTTATGCCTGACCAGAAAATATATTTAACTCACTTGGTCCCATGATGAATATTTTGAGATTTAAAATGATTTTCTTTTTCAATTATAGGGTTAAAGATCGAATTTTATAATACCGTTTGCCAACAGCGTACCACACCGCGAATATGCGACAATGAGAAAAATGTTTTGAAATATTTGTGGAATTTTAAAATTGTCCATATTATTTATTTCCTTCTAGAAAGAAATGTTGTAGGAATGTTCTAATCATGCATGAGAAAAGAAATTTTCAATTTGTGATGGTGAAACTAGCTATTTAACATTCGAGTCTTGGTAGGCCTTCAGAAAGATTAAATACTGATTTTCCTGTAAGGAAAGATTGATATTTAACTGTTGAAAGCACAACGTTCCATTGTTTTATATTTTATAGCTTGTAACTTTTTTAACATCTTAAATGATTCGTGATGCGCTACATCATTGAGTTGACCATAAAGCTCGGGATTTTCGAGAATCGTTGGAGAGATTTTTTGAAAATTCATCATAGTACATCTGCTGACAGTTACGAGCGATGTAGGTACAAATTGTCTTTGGCCTAACATTACATATTCTAAAAGGACACTCATAATGCTGACTTTTTAGCCGTTTATTTCAATTTACACTTTCATTAGATGCCAATATTAAAAGATGGGGAGAAACTAAAGGAAAATTTTAGATTTTAAAGCGAGAGAAATGTAGCAAAGGATTTTATTTTACCCTTGAAAAATAGGCTCATGAAGCAAGAGGTAGAGGGTGAGACAACAAGCTACAATTTGTTGCACATGTAAACTAAGCTCAGCTATTTTATCCGCTCCTAAGCATCCTTTGATTGAATTTGTTATTTAGGATCTACCGCCTTTATAAAGACGAACAGTTCATTTTCAAATTGTCATAGTAGTTGTAATTTAAAAATACATGATATATTTATAGATAAGTCGAGTGCAAACAGCACTTACTGATTCAAAAGCTCCACTACGTTTGCTTTATGTTACCCCGGAAAAATTGGCAAAAAGTAAGCGGATTATGAATCGCTTGGAAAAATGTAATGAAATGAAACGATTAAAGGTTAGTCTTGAACGAAGTTAATTTAGTTCTCTTTTTTAAGTTCTGTTCAATTTTTTGCTTGCTGATTGTTTAATTTTTTACTTGCTGAAACGAAGTAGCTCTTTTGTTCTGTTCGTCCTACGTATTTCATGTCCTGGCTTCTCAGCGGTAGAAAGGTTAATCTCGGCTCTACTTATTTGTGAAGATTTGAATTAATAAATCAAGTATTACTATGGACAGAATCGGCTTACTTTCTGTGGGAATTTTTTTATGTCTCTGACTAATAGTGTTTCGATACAATGTGTCTTTAGAACAAGGAATGGTTGTGATATCAGAGAAATTTATTTATTTAATTTCAAAATTTTAAAGCTACTTCCTCTATAGATTTCAGTTGATTGCAGTTGATGAAGTACACTGCTGCTCTCAATGGGGACATGATTTTCGGCCAGATTTTAAATTCCTTAATAGTTTTAAAGCGTCAGTTTCAAGCTGTGCCATTGATTGGACTGACTGCTACAGCTACTGCTGATGTTATTGATGATGTGAAAAACATGCTGGGGATTCCAGGTTTTTCCTTTTTTTTTTTTAAATTGAATTTATAAGTATATTTTGAATGAATTATTATGGTTTTCTATATCATTATGATTTATGAAGGGTCCAGCAAGTATTTTAAATGGACTTGATTTTTCGGATATTTTTAACTCTCTGCATTGTTCTCTATTTTAACTAGAAGTTTCTTTTTAACTTATTTCATAATATCTGTAAAGAAAGTTTCTGTTTTCGTTTTTCAAATGTTATATCTTCATTTTTGTCTTGTTAACTGAATCTATTTGTAGCAGCTGTGGTATTCCGTGCTGGTTTCAATCGGCCAAATTTGCATTACAGTGTGTGTCAGAAGCCATCGTCAGATGTTGAATTCGTGGATATTTTGGTGGAGCTTATTAAAACCCGATTTGCGGAACTCAGTGGAATTATTTATTGTTTTTCGCGTAAAGAATGTGAGGAACTTACAAAATCATTGCGGTAATCCCTTATACTTTGCTTCCTGTTCAGCGCCTGGTAGTTAGGAGTATACTTCTTTTATGCCGAACAGTCTTTCATCCATAATTTTACTATAAAACCGGAAAATACGGGAGATTTTTGAAATGTGTATAAAAAAACTCATAGTGGGAATGACACATAAAGTACTTTCTGCTAGTCCTGTTGCTGTAAGTACTTTATGCGTCATTTGTCTCCCATGCAGTCAACTTTTTTCATAATCTCCTATTCATTTGGACAAGCAGTACTTTGTCGATCTAATATGCTATCTCTCACATATTGTTTGATATTCATACCTATTTGTTATTCATACTGATTTGTTTACAGTGCAAAAGGTGTAAAAGCGTCACACTATCATGCTTTTCTGGATGCTGATAAAAGGAACATTACTCATGAAAAATGGCTGAATGGAGGGATTAATGTTATTGTAGCGACAATAGCTTTTGGTTTGTCGTTTTATTTCTTTGTCTAATAGTCGTTTTATTTCTTTGTCTAATAGTTTCTTTGTCTAATACTCTTCTGAGTATATTTCTTTGGATTAAAAAAATTATTTTCAGGTATGGGAATTGATAAGCCTGATGTTCGTTATGTTATACATCATTCTTTACCTAAATCGTTAGAGAATTACTACCAGGTATTTATTTACGACTGTAAAGATAATTGGATTAGTTAAGCAAAAGCAAGCTTTTCTTCATTCATTTCCAGCATCTTTCATTCTTAAGTTTCTAATTTAATTGGTAGTGATGTGACTACATTGTTTAATAATAATATATTTTATGGTGCTGTTAAGTCTTACTAAATATTGCATTATGCTCGACTTAAGCCCTAAGTGGTTTTGCTCATTAAACTGTTTAAGCTAACTTTCCAGTTAAATAATCAAGTAAGGATAGTGTATTTTCCTACGTAATGGATTTGTTTTTCTTTTTCACAGGTAAAGGTCACTGCTTACAATATAGATTCTGCAGAGGAAAAGCAGTAAAATTTTTACTTTATTTTCATGCATCCGTGTTTTTCGGTTTTAGGTGAGTTGTGAGTTCTATAATTTGTCTGTTTCCGAATCTGTGGATTTTAATTTTTTCTTAAGGAAAGTGGGCGTGTTGGACGAGATGGTAATAAAGCTTATTGTATCTTGTTTTATCGTTTAAATGATCTCTTTCGGCAAAGTACAATGGTTTGTACGGAAAAGACTGGTGTGCGGAATTTATATTCAGTATTGTCTTACTGTATTCAGGTATGATTTATTTTGTTCAGTTTATTCAATTGAAGGTTTTGTTCTAGTTTACAGTGTATCGGAATGAACTAAATTTTCTAAATTTTGCGCTACGTTTCATTTTTTATGTCGGATTTGGTTTTAGCTGTCCATCTTCTTAGATCTTGCAGATGTAGAAGACAAGGGACAGTTCGAATAACTAAGTTGAAAACTGTGAGAAAATCGGACAGGAGATGTTCATTATGAAGGAGATTTTCTTTAGTTTTTAAATCATTATAAAGTCATTATGAAGGAGAAATTATTATGAAGGAGATTTTCTTTAAATCATTATGAAGGAGATTTTCTTTAGTTTTTTTCCAGAAGATTCTCCATCACCTAATTCAAATCTCAGTAATAGTTTTGAAAATAAAAAGGACTGTTAGTTCTTTCATTTAGAAGCATTAATGGGAAAATTAGACAAGTCATTTGTTACCTGAGGTATTAATTTTCTGCTTATTAAGTTTTGTGAAGTATTGATTTTCTGCTTATTAAATTTTTTTGTTCTTGAAAACAATTCCATGATCTGCATTTTTATTTATTTTTTTTTTAAGACATCTCAGTGTCGACGGTCGGTTATAGCCGAGCATTTCAATGTGGAGTGGAATTCATCACTATGTTCCAAAATGTGTGATATATGTTCTCAAACTAATGATTTTGAATGTGTGGATGTGACTGATTATTGGCGACTGATGTTAGAGGTGTTGAAAAATGTATGCTTACGTATAGTAAATTCAAATGTTTATGTTCTAATTTAGGTGAATCAAAGATGAGATTCTTCTGCTTATGAATTAGAAATAATTCTGATCATTTTTAGTTGCTTCATTTTCTTTTTCAGTGTTATTTTTCAAATTTAATTTTTTTTACTATCAAGGTTCAAAAAACTGATAACAATCGTGTAACGGGCATGAAGCTGGTAGAGTTAACTTGGAAGAAAGTCAACTCCGTAAGTCGAGAACTGATCGAACTTTTGGTTGCAAAGTTTATCCTCGATGGATATCTGAAAAGTACGTTCCGTTCAGGAATAACATTTTATACATTTTTTTGAAGTGAAAATTTACATCCAGAAATTAGCATCTTTTAAATATTAAAGAACTTACAAATAATTTTATTATGGGATGAACTGTTCTATAGCAAATGTAAAGAGAAGTAGAAACACGAATGTTCAAGAAATCTGAGCAAGTTTAGTTAATCAGCACCTTCCTTTACAGTCAGTCAGTATCTTCCTTTACAAATATAGCTTGACTTCTGGACAAATCCAAAATATGGAGAATTCCTTTGCTGAAGAAATAAATTGGAAGTGACTTCATGAATATTAGGACGAAGTATGAATAGTGCTAACAATTTCGACCTTATTTTTGAAAAGCTTTGTTCTCAATGTTAAATAAGTTGTAGAAATGATGTATGCAGAAAAGAATAGCTAGATTAGTTGTATGACATTTAATTAAAGATAAGCGCTGGATGAGTTACTTAGTGATACTCACGATGTATTGGATGCTAATGAAAAAGGAAAACCTATTTACAAAGGAGTTAAATAGACCTATGAAACTAAAAAAAAAAAGAGTTACTTCAAATAAGATTGGCACGAGCAATGTTTTTTTTTCTTTCATTGAAATATTTATTAGATCAAATTTTGGGGTTATCGGTTTTAAGGAAGATTTCCACTTCACACCATATTCAATCATCAGTTACGTTGTACCAGGCGAAAAGAGCATAGTAGTGGAGAATAAATCGGATTATCGAATTACCGTCTCCATTCCATCAAAACTGATTTGCACCAATCGAAAAACAATAGCATTTTCACGCAAGAGGCCACTGCTTATTGATGATGATGGTGATGATGAAGATGATGTCATTATGCTTAAGTAAATGCTTTTTACTTGGGAGCGTGCATTTATTATTTCGTTTGAAAGTTTCCTTTCTATTTGTACAGGAATAAGTTGGACGTATCGGGAATGCTATCATTTTATTCATCGGGATAAAATCTTTACAACCATTCTATTTGTGAATAAATGGATTTGTTCCATCACAGATTTTGCCAATTTTTTTAAAGGGTAAATGAATCCATGCAATATCATTGTATGCTTTGAAACCCTTCCTTAAAGCAATAAAGTTACTAAAATGGACAACTGAAATTGGAAGTGGAGGAGAAAGAAAGGTTTGAGTTGCAGTTTAGGTTAACGGAAGTTTGAGCTATGTCCCCTTGATTCATTGACTAAATAAATAGCTGAACAACTCTGCTGGTAGGTAAAGTGGGAGAAAATTTGCTGCTTAATTCAATGTTAGCAAACTCACAAGAAGGAGAAGTGGTGGAGGCAGTTCTCAGAATTATTTCGTTGGTAATTTAATGAGTCCCTTCTTTTTTATTGAAAAATTCGCTAAAATAATCGATTGGAGCGGGAGTTCGGTATTTGAAGATCCGTTGGGATAGGATGAAAGAGTTTAGATGTCCAGGAAGTATCGGGAACTAGATGAAGTGACATCAGTACAGTTTTCCCAGACTATGGTGTTGGCAAATTTTCCAATCAGTCAGTTCTATAATTTTGCAAAAGAAAAAAAAAGTGGTAAGCGTTTTTGCAGTTGAAGACTTCGAAGATACAGTGTCAACATGAGGTACACGCATGCCATCGTTGTTCGTATCCCAAGTAAGGTAAAAATGGAGAAAAAAATAAAAACTGATCTGGCATTAGCTGAGAAGCAACGGGAAGAACTTTGCGAAATACTTAGAGAAGTTCGTATTTTATATTCTGCCCTCACTTTATAAAGTTTTTAGTTCTGATTTAGTAGTTTGGTTTTTATTTAATATGATATTTTACTGAGTGTTCTAGTATAGATTACTTTGGTAATGTTCATACGAATTTCCAATTTCCGAGAAATTTTCTAGGCTGGTATTGATATCATTGAACTTTCATCTGAAGAGCGTTGTGTACAACAAAGTTTGTTTGCCGGCGATGCCGCCATTTGTATCAATGGTACTGCCTTGATCACTCGTCCAAGGAAAAGTGGAAGTCGTTTACTTGAGGTTTGCAATTTTTCTTTTTTCTGTAGGTATCAATGGGATATTTTTTCCATTACTCGTATGAATCATTCTTGCATGTATTTCTGTGTGAAATATGTGACTTTATAAGGAACGAAGTTAGTTATGTGATTAAAAAAATAATGATGGGAATGAGGAAAAAGATCAATCTTAATGACACACCATTGAAAGAGAATGTAATTTGATATGTACAAGCTTTATTGACGAATTAATTGTTTGCAGATCAGCAACTTGCTTAATCAACTTGCCTGGCAGGTTGTAGAAACACCACAAGCTTCTGAACATAATAGAGAAATTGTGCTTGAGGGCAGCGATGTGCTATACACTGGTAAAGAGGTGTTTGTTGGTATACGAAAGAATGGTACTAACATGGAAGGAGCATTGGTAATTTTACCTAAATCCCTAATATATTTTTATTATTTTAAGAATAACTACATTATTTTATACGATGAATGTCGCTTATAGACTTCATTTATGAGGAAAACTTTTGGGCAACCATTGCTTGCTTTTAGGTTGTTGCACGAACATTTTCTGACTTAGCTGTAATACCAATTACACTTCCCGGAAGTCATTCTTTAAGGCATCACATTTCACTTATTTCGGCCGATGTCCTTGCAGTAGGCAGTTCCAAAGAAGCGAAACAAGTTATACAAGTATCTCTTCATCAAATTGTTTTATTATTCAAGTCTTGCGAAGAGTGATTTAATGTTGGATTGCTATTATTCAGTTCAACAGCTCAAATATACTATCATTTTTACTTCATTAGTTTTTTACTTCATTAGTATCATTTTTACTTCATTAGTATCATTTTTACTTCATTAGTTTTACTTCATTAGGCCAGCATCATACATCTCATCCTTTAAAAAAAGGAAATTAGAACTTTTGTTTCCAAATTCATTTTTAGCGGATGGAGCGCGAGGCAACTTTTCGATACAAAACTCTTACAGTGAAGCATGATGAAGCTGTGAATTGTTTAAATGTCAATGATTACGTTATTTATCGACAAGACACTCCAGAAACGGTATGTTTTATAATTTCTGTTACCAGTCGTATCACACATTTTTATTGATAAATATTGAATTGAAAAGTTACATCATACATTTCGATAAATTCTCAATTGAAAGGCAGGGAAAAAAATGTGGAAAATCAGTGATTTTAATTCTTTAGATAAAATTTTTTGATACTACATGACTATATTTTTTGTCGCATATCCTTCTTGCATTTTCCGGCACCTAAATTTGAAAAACAATTTGTGAAATCGAAGATTTTGAGGGTTGTAAAGAAGGCTTTTGACCTTTCAGATTTCCACCATTTTAAATCTCAGCCAGTACCAACTTAAAGCCTCCGACCATCACTGCTACTTAATCGATATGTTGTGTATACATACAATTCATATACTTCTTTTTACTCATTTTTGAGAAATATTTCCAGAAATTTCAAATTCTTCATGAACCGATCCACATGGCTGGAATAACGGCAGGTGAACTGGCAAAAATTGGCAGTCCTATTTCACGTTTTGTTCTACTCACTATGAAAATGAAAACATTGAAATCTCTTTGGTGACTATTTTCTAGTTTGATTGATGTCTTCGTAGGACCAGAGGTACCTTGTCTTTTAAGGTATAATCTGGTACTTTATGTAAATTTCATTACCCTTATATTAACTCTTCACTCTACGTTGTATATACTTGCATTGCAGAGGTCCAGATGACTTTTCTTAGGATTATAGGTATTTCGTTCAATGTGTTTCATTATTGAACAAGAGCTACGCAGCTTTTTGACATTCTTCTAAGGATGTTCTCTTGTGTTTTTTTCTTCACGCTTACTGTTGAATTACGTTCCACATCCAACAAGATACTAAGACCTCTGGCTTTTAATTGTACCTAACTTTTTCACTAAGATGTATGGTTCCCCACTTACTTTTGAATCACATGTGTGTTCGCTGCTCCGCTGCCAAAACTCGCAACTTTTTCGCCATTGTGTATGAATACTTCTCTTGTATCACAGCTGTATGCCTTTCCATTCACTACATATTCCCTTTAAATTGTGGAATGTGTAGCGTTTGGGAAGATATAGGGGATGTCCGTATCCTCTTCATGAAAAAACGATTGATATTTTTGTCAGTAACAGATGTTACATTTCCCAATTCTCATATAGAAACCATCATTTTCCTGATATGAGTAAGACTTGTTAAACGAAGTTCCTTTTTCGCCTAAATAAATTACTCATTTCTTGGGAGATGTAAGATGCAGGAGAAAAAAACTGCAAGCAAAAAGGACTTTAAATAAAAAATTTGACAGTCACCAAAAACAGTACAGCAAATTATAATCATGCACAGGTCAATAGGAAATATTGGGAAGAAGCGCGACGAGCTAACAAAATGGTAATACAAAGTAATAACACGGCTTAGTAAAAACTACACCTACAATTTTTTCAAATACCTAGAAAAATAATTCCAGAAAAAATTACAGATACCTATGGATTTGGAACGTAGAGAACGATTCACCAAGAAATCCTAGATACTAGAAATTCTAAATTCTAGTGCCGAAGCCTTTTTATTAGTTTGCTTTTGTGTGGAAGAACATTAGTCAGTAAGCATTAAAAAAACTTTCTGGAAGTTCTCGTAGAGCCTAAACACATTCAGGCTCATAGAGCCTAAACACAATTTTAAATACTCCAAAAGATAGTCGTATATTTACCTCAATTGCTAGAGTGAGGGGACACAATTTAGAACAAGGCGAAAAAGCATTTCAGAGAAGTATGCAGCCCTTTTTGAGTTGAAAGTGTGTAATTCAACATCGAAATAGAACTTCTCTAGTTCGTAGCTATAAGTAAAGTAAAAAATCCAGGAAACATTATGATTTGGAAAACTGACATGTTAAAGAAGAAGACCCAGCTGGGTGAGAAACAGCCCAGAGAAGGATATGTAAAAAGTGGGAAATCATCCTACTATTGCCACAATAAATAGGAGGAAAGGATTGCACAAAGTACTTGGAAGTTTCAAATTAGAAAACAATCTACCGTATCATCCATCATTATTATTAACGTGCAAGTAAAACTGTATTTTTTGAGTTGAATGGAAGTTTGATATTATAAACAACTGTCTTCCAAGATTTCCGAAAAAAATCTAAAAAAATTGAGATTCTGGTGATTTGATCTGTGGAACTTTTAGTCAATATATACCTATATTTTATATACCATGATGGAAGGAGAAATTTTTATACTTTTCTTCCCAGCACTTTAGATTAAAAGAACAGGAAAATAAGTGGCTGTATTCTCTAAAGAAAATAAAAAATTGCTGAATGTAATAAGACTGAGATCAGTTTTCAAATACACATCAAATTAGGCTACAGACGGATTTCCAAAGGATGCCGGTGTCTGCTGTTGGTTGACATTAGCATTCCATGCTGGATCTGTAGTGCTGCCCATCGATGATAAGTCTGCTTTTTTGCCCAAAGCTAAGAAACCATAAACTGTGCCCGATGCAAAAATCATTCCACTACCAAGTACTGTATTTAGCTCAGTGCACAACAATATTGGCAGCACGCCTATGCTATAAAATTTTAATTGCATGTAAGTTTAGAATAATACACATCAAAAAATGAACGTTCCAGGGAAAAATTAAGGAACAAATATTTCTAAAGAAAGTAATCTTGAAGAAATATAAAGTAACGATTATTCATTTGTATGAGTATTGAGAGGAATCATCCCTATGTATACTAATAACTCTTTTCGCTTAGCCTAAAATCTCTATAAGAGAAATGTCTGAATAAATGATAATCAATGTGTATGAAAATATTAAAAGCTTACATGCAATAAAGAGCTGCTTTCTGCCAGTATTTTCGTGATTCCGAAAACATCGCAATTTTTTCAATGAAATCGATAAACATACAACAAAACGGAGCCTCTAATGCCACCGTTAGTATACCAAATGCTCTGCAATTCAGAATCAGTCAGAAACAACAGCTGCAAAGATCAAATGCTCTGTTAGTATTCAAAGTAGCACTGAGATGTTATCTTAGCTATCATTTATAAATTTTCAAATCAGTTTCGACAATTACATCAGGATCAAACAATGCATAATAAGATCTTCCATTCCTATAATAACTTCCGTTATATATGAAATGATTAATAAATGAAAGTGTAAATAAATATGAGTAACTAACAGCTGTAGTAGAACGGCAATGATACAGGTTGCGGAGAATGAAAGTAACCCAAGTACAGCGAAGAAGATAGCGACAAATCCACCAAGTACTCCAAGTGCTTTCGCTAGAAAACGTACCCACCAAGGAAAAGCAGCATTTGGATCATGCTCTTGCTGCATTTGCGATTGCAATCCAGATGTTGCCGCTCCCATTATATTATGAAGTTACTTTTTGTTAATAAATCTGAAACACACTTTGCAGCCACAAAGTCAAGGTTACTATGCATGCACTGCTCCCACGCACTACAAATTGACTATAAATAAGCCACAATGAGACCTGAGCGCACCTGAGCGGTGAGTGTCTAACTAGTCACCTGATCATTTCAGGCCCCTAAAAAAAGTCAATCTTCGTAAGCAAAATTATATAGTCTGCATGTCAAATCAAAATCAAGCTTTCTACTGAAATGGGATGGAATGTGTAACCAGGTGGGATAAAATAGGAATATATGATATGCAATGATCCCCATACCTAGCACACAACAATGAAATGCGTCACGTTGATCAATTTCCACTTCTGAATCAATGTTTGCTTAAAAAAATCTTACCGATCAATCAATGACATTTCCTAGTTTCAAAAATTTACGTCAAAGAACTTTATCTGACTTATTAATAACATAAGCTATACCGTCGTAGTTAACATCAAATTTATTCAGAACAAATTCCTTCTTTAAATAGTTGCACAATATTGAATAAATAACCATATTTACAACGAATTGTAATCAAGAAAAATTCTCCACTTTAATATTGAAGATTAAAAAATGAGACAAGTGAAAAGTAGGTTCTTAAATACGTTATGTTTGTCTGGACGGGAATAACTCGATTTACGAAAATATATATGGTTCAGAAGCTAGAAGTGTTAAAATCCTGAATCCTGAAATAAGAAAGGATTAAACAAAAAAGTAGGAACGGAATATGGATGTGGAAGAAATAACGTAAGAAACAACATTGGGTCAACTAAATTAAGGCAGAAATATGCGGACTAGACCAGAAACTAGGGATCTGAGCAGGAAACAGAAGGGATAAGTTTGTAAATACAACTCATTAATGTCGAACAAAAAGAATCGCCTCCTAAAATTGAACAATTAATCATATCATACACTAGAAAAAAAAGTTGAAATTTTACATGTAGCTTTTCTATATAGAATACAATCGAAGTATTCCTGCACAAAATACAGAATATTCAAACGTAACATGTATGAGAAATGAGAATGCATAACAAATCCATAAACATAACCGGGTAAACATGTAAATGTTGATGCCCACAAACAAAATGAATAAGTGGAAATGATAAATCAAACTTAAGCTCGAGATCGCTATTATCTATTATTCGGCAACCTATCAGCAGTTTCACTTCCCTTCATTTATTCGAGTTTTTTTCTCAATCACTATCACCAAAAATGTATTACAGTTAGTCATCGGAAACTATGATTGGTTTTTCTCTTCCGCGCTCATAATGTACTTTTCCATCAGTAACAATGAAATCTCAATATTTATCAAAAAATAAACCTTCTTCATAACAATAAACCTTCTTCATTTTCAAATACCATTCACAGTCAACTCAGATATTATTAAATTTTGAAAACAAAGATCTTCAAAACCGTTTGTACCATTTGAAGAATTCGTTTGAGTAATGGCTCCTCAAATTTAAAAATCAAGCTAACTTCCTAGTTGATCTACGGTAGAATCAGTGAACGACTAAGAAAAATTAAGAAGGAAAAGATTAGTAAACGATGTAAACAACCACTTCTTAATAAGTTTAAGATTTTTTTATTATTTGTGGAAAACCAAATGTAGGAAATTCAAATGTCCATCTCAGTGAAGTTCTGGTACCTTTCCATTTATTTAAGATACTTGAGAAACACAAAGAGCAGAAAGATAATAATACAGGAAACAAATCTTACGTCCAAAACAACCAGAAAAATTCGCACATTTTAACCTGAGAAAGAAGTGCTATCGTTGTACGGTAAAATTATGAGCAAGAGAATAGATAGCTGGCCACAAAGCTGGTTCATTCGTCAGGGAGTATTGCTCGGAAACATTGGATAAAACAGTTGTAGCATTACTGGCATCATCATCCGCACCGCTGCTACGTCGGGCTACAGTATTCCTGAAGCAACCAAACAAATTGCGTGCAGCGGTTATCATCCTAAGCTTGATAATAAAAAAATTACAGAACTGAAGTAGATTACATCAGTCAATTCATTTGTGTCAAGCAAATAACTTACAATTAAATATCAAGATCATTTTGGTCATAAGCTAAAGACTGGATAAGACAACTGGCAAAATAACAAACCTTTCTTATCACTTCCTTCAATATAAAAAATGAAGTCAATCTCATTAATTCACCTTTAAATCCAAAAACCCACTAATTCCGGAAAAGTATTACAAAGCTTACGTTTGCGTGTTGTAAATGAGAGGTATCAAGTGTTTCGATGCATCCGCATTTTTTTCTGATGGGTTATGACGCGCTGGTCTTAGGCAAAGCTGAAAGTTTTAAAAACTGGTACAATTAGTGAATGATAAAAACTTTCGTTTTATAATCTTCATATCTCGCCGTCCAGTGCAGCTGGAAAAAAAAAAAAGAAATGCGTCTAAGGAAATGAATGCCCTTCAAGGAGCTAACAAGTTCTTCAATTCAGGAAACTTACTAAAATCAGTACACTGATATTGGTTTGGTCAATAACAATACCAGGTGAAATGCGCGCTCTTGGTACTGATCCCTCCTGGCTCCACATCACCAATTGTATTGACGGACGCCAAGGAGTATCCTCGGTCCAATTCTATTTGAAGGAAAACAATCATTTTTTTTAAATATTACAGTATAAGATGGATTTAAAAAATATTGCTTGAGGGTATGTCTTTTTACAAATGTTTCTCTTGCTAAGTACATTACATGCTATAAAAATATTCTCGTATCCTAAAGATATACTATAGTCTACTGACATTGCAATGAAAAAATATATAATTCACGGAAATAACCAAAAACTATATTGATCAAGATTTTTGAAATGCATGTTACTCCCACAGATGAATACATAATAACTTACCATTTGCACGCTCATTATACGGGCAATGGCCGAGAATGCACCCGGTGCAGCAAGCCTACAGGCATTAGCGAATGCAACTACAGCAATTTCATTCCCCAATCGAGCAACAAATCTCACGAAGTAAAGCTCCGCCGTACGGATATCACTATCAGCCGGAATATCATCACCGTCTAAGAAAACGAGAATTTTGAATTACCATGTAATTAATAATTCCATTAAAACTTCATTTTTTTTACTATATAAGAAATTTTTTGAAGATCCAAATTCCGTTGCGTGGCAAAAACTGCTATAAGGCTAGGAAATGAAAGAATGAGACATCTTACTGAAGCACATTATTCACCCATTTCCTGTTCACAATAATACTAATCGTATAACCTTACTTCTTCAGTTATGAATAAATCAAACAGTTGAAGAAAACTTGCCGAAATCCAACTTCATTTTTAAACTCATCGTTTCTTCATCTAAATAGATATTCATATTGACCAAGAATGGTTCATGTTTCAGGTTCGGTGGTGCAGCACCTAATACCGATAATCGAACACTTTCTGGAGTTGCAATTAATTGTCGAAACTGAATCACTGGATGCGCGCCTGACCCGCGATGCTCTCGACGATATCCTTCTAAGGCTGGACCCAATTTTGACAAGTATGCTAATGCAAACAAATATTGATCGAGAGGACAATTTCCTGCAACGCTCGTTGATTGGTAATACGAGATTTCAGGACATCACATATATTGTAACATACAACAAATCTTAACGACTATATACCAGAAAAAATGGAATAAGACTACTGAAAGTAACCTACCAGACTCATCAGCGGATGTCATGCAATGCAATGAATCGTGGTCCAGCAGAATTGGGGTTTTCGAGCGATAGTCTGACGAATACCGCAAGGAAGAACCAAAGCTATCTATGGGTGGAACAGATAATGACATATGTGACATCGGTGACGAGACAATTCTCGATGCCGGAGAGCGAACCATCTGAAAATAAAAGTTACACGACTAATCAAGCAAATCCAAAGCAAATAAAGTTGAAAAATTATTTTTAAAAAACTACCTAAAAATATTCTTTTACTGTTCCCTTATTTTTTGTTATTTCACCGCAATTTATTTCAAGCTGAACATAATACCGCATCTCAAAAACATAAATACTTATTGAACAACGAATCTCATAAACTGATTACCTGGTGAGATGGTAGCGAGCCAGGCCCAGAACTAGCAGCTATCCAGCCAAAGGCACTAGGCGACTTTTCTTCATTTGTACTTCGCAGTTCTGGACTAAAAAAAGCAGGACAGGCATATATTGATAGAAACGTATGGAGTAGTAAAATTAATGAAGTGTGGATCGATTTAAATCATCACAAATTCTCATAATTTTCTTGTAGAATAAGATTTGGCAAAACCATAACTGAAGAACAGTGCTTTTGCATAAATTTAAGACAAAGAGAAAAAGTGGAAATGTATTTAACGATGACAATCAATAACTGTACACCTTAAGAAATTACTGCAAAACTGGCGCAAACGGAATGCACAATTTGAACCCAGTGAGCAATCACGTAAACCAATCCGAGAATTACCCAATAAAATAAATTCCAAATACACATGACCATATATCAAACGAATTCTGTATTCATTCACTATTGATAATGTGACCTAAAAGAGAACAAGTTATTGCAAAAACCTGATGATTTTTGAGTTAAGAACGAACACCACTAAACTGTTCATCATTTCGTGAAAAAGCTATTCTGTTAGCATATCACTTAAGTTAAAGTTAGGTCTTAAGTTAGATATAATCAAACCTAACTTCGTAAAAATAGCAGTTAATCATATCAAACGTTTAAACTACATGTGATCTAACAGACAACATAGTTCCGGGAATTCTGAAAATTTTATGAACATTTGCCACCATACTTCCATGTCTTCTCCGTATTCTAATCTACAGTAAAATGTGCAAGTAGAGTCGGCAAGAAATGAAAGTCTGGGGATGAAACACGCTTCAGAATGCTCCGAACTTATTAACAAGTGCATACTTGCAAACCCAATGCCAAAGCAGCATCATAGCACATCATCTGACAAAATGCACGTAGCGATTGAAGTCGAATTCGAGTGAATGAATGAAGTGCCGAAAGTGGAGCAACAGA